CAGATGAGATCAAACAAAACAGATGAGAATTGCCCTTAAGCTGTTTAACTTGGACCAAGCATTTTAGGTCACAGATAGATGTAGCTTAGGGTCTCTGTCTATACACCTTATAAGACAATTTAGGTGATGGCATGTTGTTTTTCTGCTATTGAACTGTTTTCTAATAATGTTGTGTTAAATAAAGTGAAGGAAGGAGAGAAATAACGTTTCCCTAGCAGTTTTTAAAAATTTCCCCATGTAATCCGATTAATCGATTAATCGTGTCGAGACCCCATCCAATTAATCGATTATCCAAATAATCGTTTGTTGCAGCCCTAATATCACTAAAATTAATGAGTAAGACTTGTAATCCTGTCATTTTTCATTGAGTCAATTATTAAACAGCTATTAGTTTATCAAGCAATATTTTACTTAAAAGACCACTGAACACATTCCTATGCAGAAAAAGACTTGCCTCTTTTAGCTATCGCAGTCGAGCAGAAGCTCTGTATTTATCATGTTGATGCACATGTAAAAACATGCACAGCCAAACCCACGCAGCCTGATTTGAGTATTTTGCTTTTCTCACCACACTCCAGCTGAACAGTTCAGACTGGGTTGTCAGCTGGCTCTTACATGCATCACATAAGAGGGAGTAAGACAGCTCAGAAACACACTAAGAAAATGCCAGGAAGCATTGAGCCATGCAACACAGATTCTTTCAACCTGCCTTTCACACAACAGACAAGCTGAGAGAGAGAGAATGAGGAAATGCTCTGAATGAACAAAACGACGTAAATCTATAAATAAAAATGATCCCATTTTAATTTAGATTTGTATACAGCATAACCATTTAATGACCATCCAGTTTCAGATTTAAATTTGAGCCTATCCTAGCCAGCCTTTAACATCTAAAGTAGAGAGCCGATAACAACAGACTTCTTCTGTGTAAGCAAAATAGCTATGTGTTAGCTTTTCACCCACACTTAGCAGTAGAGGTAGACCATATGTCGGTGGGTAGCTTAGCTATCAGAGGTGTGGATTTGAGTCACATGACTTGGACTCGAGTCAGACTCTAGTCATTATTTTAATGACTCCTTACTTGACATGATAAAATCTATAAAGACTTACGACTTGACTCGGACTTGAACGCCAATGACTTGCGACTTGAATCGACTTGCATCTGTTGACTTGATGATGACTTGAGCACATTTGATATTTCAGCACAAAAGTGGCACGATGTGGACAAAAATCATAAGTCGTTCTTCGTTCTGGGTTTGATCTTGTACTGCTAAATGCAGCAGCACTTTGTTTACAATCAATTTCCGTTGCACTTTCTGCTTGTTTGGGCAAACAAATGAATTTCTGGGATTTATTTATTATCATTGTCATTAAATTGAAGTTGGAAAGATGACTTGATTATGACTTGAAAATTCAAAGTTAAGAACTTGGACTTGAATTGGACTGTCTTCCAATTCCTTGACTTTGGACTCGACTTGGACTTGGTTGTCTTTGACTTGGACTTGACTTGAGATTTGATTGGAAAAACTTGTGACTTACTTGTGACTTCCAAAGCAGTGACTTGGTCACACCTCTGGTAGCTTTATCAGGCCGATAGTTACTATTTTGTATTCAGTGGCCAAAGTTTGTCCTTAGTAAAGCCAATTTAATGTCACACACATCCTCAGGCAGCCCAGTGCTGTTGAGGAAGAAGAAACAATCTTTTATATCGCACCTCTTAAGATCAAAATGATGAGGTCCTTCACAAGAATACAAATTTAAATAAAAAGTGATTAAAAACTGATGTTAAAAAAATCATTAAAAGTGGGAAAGTAAAATTTGTGATTAAATAATGAGGAAAGAGAAAAAGGAAATGATTTTAAAAAGAGGTCATCAGTGCAGGGTTAGCTACAAAGTTTAACACGGAACAGTGCACAAAGTTAGGACTTAACAGTTGGTTAAATTCAAAGTTCAGAAACTTATTCAGCTTCAAAAATTGTATGCATCAAGTGATATCATTAGTGACATTGAAGCATGAAAATAAGGTGGAAAACATTTAGATATCGGCCATGAAAATTGGCAGTACATATTGACCATCAACTGACAATGTTGCCTACATATCGGCGTCGTTATCAGCAATAGAAAGCCTGATGCATTTCTACCACTCTGGACAAAACAGAAAATATGGCACGTGCATGTAAATGAGTTTGTAACTTCAGCTACTAGGAGCAACAACCCCAGGACATAGAACTAAAAGCTTCACTAATAATAAGTTGTGGAAGTTGTAATAAATTTTTGGACTTAAAACATCTGAACACAAATCAAGCTTTACCACTTCTTAGAAAAGCAGCTGTTTACATGTTATGACTTCCTGCAACTAATAATGCTTCAATCAGCTGCCGGCTTGGTGCCAAATTATCCTATATAACAATGTACATCATCCTTAAATCACTTTAAACAACTGCTCGGTTCAAAGCAGAGCAGCAGTGGCAAAAGCACTACAGGATTAGAAAATCAATAGAGGGCTTGTAAAGGCCAAGGAGACAAGGGGTCAGAGGTAAAACGCCAAGACAGGAAGAAGACGATCAGAGGAAATGTAAGGGGACAAAAAGTAAAAAATAAAATACAATTTGCAGATGATTGTTTTGTGTGTTTTTGTTAATTAGTCTTGACTATGTTCATTTCCTCTATCTAAAACAGAACAGTCTTTTTTCACTATGTTTAAATGGTAAATGGCCTGTATTTGATACAGAGCCTTCTAGTGTACTGGAGCCACCCAAGGTGCTTTACAACACAATCAGTCATTCACCCATTCACACACACATTCACATCCTGGTGAGGGTGAGCTACGATGTAGCAACAATTGCCCTGGGGCGCATTGACGAAGGTGAGGCTGCCAAGCACTGGCACCACCGGTCCCTCTGACCACCACCAGCAGGTAAGGGGGGTTAAGTGTCTTGCCCAAGGACACAAAGGCACCAACAAAGTGATCGGGGCTCGAACCTGCAAACTTTCGATTACGGGCCGCGCACTTAACTCCTGTGCCACCGTCATCCCAAAATAAAAAAATTGGAGTAATACTTATATGTCTACAAGGGATCATATATTATTTGATAAATATGAGTTCAAAGAATCAATCGATACAAATTATCCCCTTTAAACTGCTTTGGTTAACGGTTTCTGCCAAATTAAGTTTACCTACATTTCTAACAAATAAATCAACAGCATTGGCCTCTAGATAAAAACAAGAAGTCTAGATTCAAATAAAAGTTTTTTATACGACACGGTTGTTGATTTATTTCAAGTGTGTTGTCTAGAATCCCTAAATTAGATGCTGCAGCCATATAAGGAACTGGTTCTGCTTTTATGAAGTAGAAAAGTCGAACAGGCATGGTGTGACTATAAAAGGACCTAAAAGCACTGAGAATTAATTTCCTAACACGATGGTCTTTTTGCACAGGCTCTACAATAAAAAAGCACAGCTCGTTTCTATCCATCACATTCAAAAGGGAAAATAATGAACAAAAACCAGTGATTTCCACATTGTATTTCTATCCAATACAGAAAATAATGGATGGATTCACCCAACAAATCTTAAGTCTTATTAGTATTACACTTAGTTTATTAGATCACAAGCACTGGTTGGATTAATAACAGATAGCTCAAAATATTAAAATTTATGCCTGGGGTTTTTAAGCTCATTCACAGCATCTGAAAAGGACATAAATTGTTATTTGGGAAAGATTTACTCCTCAAAAAATGAAGCTTTATCTCCATGAAGCTCAACAGGCGGTTCTGGCAAAGTTTACTGTTGTAAAGACAGATATTTGCTCTACATTATGCATGCATATATCAACCATCCACAGCAGATTAGATACAATGGGTAAGCCTATAACAGCTAGCCTAGAATGCCCCATTTGCCGAAGCAAAAATAAATTTGCTTTGCATTTCGGTCTAGGCATGCTCCATTGGAACCTTCACAAGCCCGGCCAGGACTGTGGCTGACCAATCACAGAGTGTTCACTTAGAAAAACGATGTGTTGTTTTATGTTTTACGCAGTTCTTCCATGATGTAATGGCAGACTGCCTCGTTGACTGACATTTGTAGTGGTCAAATCGAAGCGCTATAATGGGTTGGTGGGCCAATCACAGCACTCTTATCAGCCACGTGAGCAGAATGTTACTGCAAACCAAGATGGCCACAGTTCCATAGTGGGCCAATAATAGCACAGTATTGGTTTGGTGGGCCAATCACAGCACTCGATATGTGGGACGTTGCTGAAAAAACAAAGATGGCGAGTCTGCGGCTGCTCGTTTTAAATGGCATTGGCTTCAACTTTGGACTAGTTTGACTTGGACTTGTCTTTGAAGCAAGAGCAGTTGTACGTAGTTATTTAGAAAAAGGATGTATTTGCATCTTCTTTGACCGAGAATGGCGGACTTCCTCGTTGACTGACATATGTAGCTGTGAGTATGTCATGTTGTTTGTTTGTCCAATAGCATGTGGGGATAGTTTGAAAGACAACCGCAGATCCCGCCGTATGACTGAGAGCCGTTAATGGATCGTGCCCAGACTATATATTCACATATACACTCACCTAAATGATTATTAGGAACACCTGTTCAACTTCTCCATATTATCTAATTAACCAGTCACATGGCAGATGCTTCAATGCTTTTAGGGGTGTGGTCCTGGTCAAGACAATCTCCTAAACTCCAAACTGAATGTCAGAATGGGAAAGAAAAGGTGATTTAAGCAATTTTGAGCGTGGCATGGTTGTTGGTGCCAGATGGGCCGGTCTGAGTTTTTCACAATCTGCTCAGTTACTGGGATTTACATGCACAACCATTTCTAGGGTTCACAAAGAATGGTGTAAAAAGGGAAAAACATCCAATATGCGGCAGTCCTGTGGGGGAAAATGCCTTGTTGATGCTAGAGGTCAGAGTAGAATGGGTCGACTGATTCAAGCTGATAGATGAGCAACTTTAACTGAAAACATTTGTAAAGCCACAACACGTACCACCTTGAGGCGGATGGGCTACAACGGCAGAAGACCCCACCAGGCACCACTCATCTCCACTACAAATAGGAAAGAGGCTAGAATTTCCACGAGCTCACCAAAATTGGACAGTTGAAGACTGGAAAAATGTTGCCTGGTCTGATGAGTCTGGAATTCTGTTGAGACATTCAAATGGTAGAGTCAGAATTTGGTGCGAACAGAATGAGAACATGGATCCATCATGCCTTGTTACCACTGTGCAGGTTGGTGGCGTAATGGTGTGGGGGGTGTTTTCTTGGCACACTTCAGGCCCCTTAGTGTCGATTGGGCATCGTTTAAATGCCACGGGCAACCTGAGCATTGTTTCTGACCATGTCCATCCCTTCATGACCACCATGTACCCATCCTCTGATGGATACTTCCAACAGGAAAATGCACATCTTTGGTATGTTCTTGCTGTGTTGCTTTTCTAACTGCATTGTTGGTTCTTTTTTAAAAACACAGAAAAGGTTTCTTTTTTACCTTGCTGCTGACAGTTTCGTTCATGGCTGCAAACTTCCTCAGAGCTGACGCTGATGGTGGCGTCACTTCCTCCTCCGTTTATCTGCGGGCAGCAGAGGACGATGTCGCCCTCTGCTGCCCGCTCTCCCCTCACCGATGATGCAGTCCCATGCACGATCCAATGTGTAAACCCTATCGTCTCTGTTCATAGTCTCACATCCACGTCTCCTTATCTATATGGCTTCCTTTATCCATCTTTTGTATTTCTGTTGTTCTGTGTTTATGATCCTCTATTTTTCTCTGAAATGAGATCAAATCGGTGCTTCTATGGGTTGTTTCCTCTCTGCACTAGAAGAATTTACTTTATTATAATGTTCACTGTAATGCATCTTGATGTTCTTAACAAATAAATTATATCAAAGATATTGGTCAATAATGCCAAATATGTAAATTTGTGTTTCAGTCATTTTTATACCAGCTTAAAAATACTTCATTAAGTCTACTAAGCAGGGGTGTAGAACGTTTTTAATAGGGCCAGCCCAGTAATGATCTTGGACCAATATAAAGGGGGCAGAAAGTCAAATAAAGGGGGGCAAAAGGAGATGTTTTTCCAGAAGCCAAGAAGAATTAAATGCCAAATCCCCCCTGCAAAGTGTGTCGCTGAGAGTTTAAAACAAAAATTATTCTTGTGCAAATATTGGTGTATTCACCTTTAATACTAGTTATTAAAATGTAGCAGTTGCTGGATTGGTGCAGTTCAAAGCGGAGTGCATCAAATAAAACAATATTAACATAAAGGTGAGACGTGTCATAATCCCCCCCCCCCCCCCTAGAGATCCACTAGGATAAATACAATAAAGTTGATCTCACCAAACTGAATATTTACTAAGACATCACAATAGAACTATAGACACATTATTGTGTGTGTGTGTGTGTGTGTGTGTGTGTGTGTGTGTGTGGTGTGTGGTGTGTGTGTGTGTGTGTGTGTGTGTGTGTGTGTGTGTGTGTGTGTGTGTGTGTGTGTGTGTGTGTGTGTGTGTGTGTGTGTGTGTGTGTGTGTGTGTGTGTGTGTGTGTGTGTGTCTACTCTGTCTTCTCGATCCCCAGTGAGTAGTGGAGGATGGCTGCTTATACTGAGCCAGGATTCTCTGGAGGTTTCTTCCTGTTAAAAGGGCGTTTTCCTCTCCACTGTCGCTGCATGCTTGCTTAGTATGAGGATTGATGTATAGTCACTGACACTCGTCAGTGACTTGATGCAATTTGCTGGGTTCCTTATATCAGTGGTGGGCAGTCAGGGCCAGCAAAGCCTTCTCTGCTGGCCTAAACGTACTCAAAAACGTAAATGTTTTTTTTCCTTTGGTAAATATTTTTAAATAAAAAAAATGTTCACTGGTTTATTTTCTTTATATCCTATTATAACCACTTGGCTGCGCTGCTTCCAGTGTTAAAATACCAAGGCTGGGTGTTATCCAATCAGATTTAAGCTAGCTTGTGTTTTCAGGCAGATTAAGTCTGCTCTAGGCCTTCAGAATCAATCGAGAAGCCCACTGTCCGCTGTAAGTGAACAGAGACGATCTAGTTGTGATAGCCAATCAGCTCACGAGTCAGCTTGGCCCGGGCCAGCTAGCTGGCCTCAAGCAAAAGCTGACATGAACGCATCCTGTGATTGGAGAAGCAGTAGTTAGAACTTTTATAGCGGCATGAAGCAAAATATCAAAACTAAACACAGAGATTTGTATCTATAGGCAGCTATCGGTGTATTTTTGAACACATGATGGCTGAAAGAGGAGAAGGGACGGACTTGGTTGCAGATTTACTTGCCACACCATTTTCAAGACGGACCTTTCAAGAAAAAATGGATCTTGTGAGAACAGATCGTCCGACTCCAATGCTAGCTGGCTTGTCCCAGCAGGGGAAAGGATTTGTTCGTCATTTTCAGGCAAGCAACTATGAACGGTACCCATGGCTAACAGCTTCAGAGAACCGCTGCAGGTTATTCTGCTGGGAATGCCCGTTGCTCGCATCAGATGGATTTGGTAGCATTAAAGCGCGTTAAAACATACGCCAGAAACACGACCGGGCAGACACGTCTTTCAGCATTAGCCTCCATGTCCATACAAAAGGATCCACTCATGGACCTGAAGCACACAGATAAACTGTACAGAGCCATTGAGGTTTTTCTGAGGAAAGAAAGAAGGATGGATTTTATCTTCAAATGAGCAGGAGAGGAGGAGATCCATGCTGGACATTTATGTTGGTGAGTAGAAAGTATTTTTTAATGTTTTGTCATTTCATTTTGTTAATAATAAATGGTAACGAAATAAAATGGCTAAATGAAATAATTCTATGTGTTCTGTTTCTATGCAATCTATATTGTGTATAACGTGGTGTGTAAAGCTGCGCCAACATGTTCAATTGTTTCGCGGTGCAATTTTCTCCAAAACAAATGCAAATAATGTGTTTGCTTTACTTATTTATTTTATTGTCTCATCTCTTAAACCCGTCTTTCATTTTTGAGATTTGACAGTATCCGTGGTCTTAGCTTCCTACTCTCAATTGGGAATGCGAGTTTGATTTTAAAAGCTCCGGAAATGACGTCTTGCCCAGCCACTGGTGTGTGTGTGTGTGTGTGTGTGTGTGTGTGTGTGTGTGTGTGTGTGTGTGTGTGTGTGTGTGTGTGTGTGTGTGTGTGTGTGTGTGTGTGTGTGTGTGTGTGTGTGTGTGTGTGTGTGTGTGTGTGTGTGTGAGGTTTCTCCAGCTGTGATGTCCTATTGATGGTATTTTAAGGTGTGTTAATTTAGATTGGACTGAATAGGAAATCACTGAAGGCCCAGGGGTGGAACGCACCGCCCGCCACTGCCTTATATAGGAAACATTATTTCTGACTGGCTTAATGAACTGTGAATTGGAATGTTTATTATGTGAAGTGCCTTGAGACGATGAATTGAATTGGATCGTGCATGGGACTGCAGCATCGGTGAGGGGAGAGCAGGCAGCAGAAGGCGACAACGTCCTCTGCTGCTCGCGGATAAATGGAGGAGGAAGTGACGCCACCATCAGCGTCAGCTCTGAGGAAGTTTGCAGCCGCAAACGAAACTGTCAGCAGCAAGGTAAAAAAGAAACCTTTTCTGTGTTTTCAAAAAGAACCAACAATGCAGTTAGGAAAATGCACCAAGTCACAAAGCTCGAATCATTTCAAATTGATTTCTTGAACATGACAATGAGTTCACTGTACTACAATGGCCCGCACAGTCACCAGATCTAAACCCGATAGAGCATCTTTGGGATGTGGTGGAACGGGAGCTTCGTGCCCTGGATGTGCATCCCACAAATCTTCATCAACTGCAAGATGCTATTCTATCAATATGGGCCAACATTCCTAAAGAATGCTTTCAGCACCTTGTTGTATAGATTCCGGAACTGCGCTGCTCTGGGTGGCTGCATGTTGGAGTAGCTCTGTTGACCATATGTAAGTTTAGCCATTTTTTGGACATTTTTTTCTTCAAGTTTCTCAAGAAAAACGTTTTTTTTTTTTTTTGGGACATTTGACTTTTCTGTTTCTGGTGCTGTGAAACTCAGAGGATTTTTACTGACATTTTTTCACTTATTTCACTTTTTGAGCATTTGTTATGATGTGTAACCATGGCAACAAGCTGGTTTACAATCGGGAGCAGCTGATTAACATTGGAAAGGCTGAAATAATACCTCAACTGTATGGGCTTAAATAAGGGCCATAATGTTTGTGTAGTTAAAAGAAAAATTTGAAATTGAAAATATGTAAACTGAAAGCAAAAGTCACATTTTAAGAGTGAACTTTGAAAAAGAAAGACTTGGATTTAAAATAAAATCAAACGTTTGGAATATTTGTAAGAACTGAAACCCCAATGGTATTTTTATTTAGAATTTTTCTGAGTAAACTTTACTAAAGAATTTTCAGTAATTTTTTTTAATTATTGTTTTTTTAAAAATCCATTCAGTCTCAGATTACATTTTTTTCACATTCAGATCTTTTTAATTAATGTACAAAAAATTTCTTCAGGTTCAGATTTTTCTTTCAGCTTCAGATTTTTTTTTCACTTTCGGATCTGTATTTTTCAGTTACAGACTTTTGGCCCTGTTTTGGCCTGGTGGGCGTGGCTACACAGAGAGGGGCGGGGAATCATGAGTGACAGCAGGCCGCTGGAGGCTGAAGACGGCCCATTTTTCATGTTGCCTTCAGGAAACCTGGGAATAAACACAATTTATCAAACACCTCCTGCACTGTATTATTTGATAATGGTTAGATAACATGTCATGCATAACTGCTTAAACTCAGTTACTAAAGCTCTTTCAATCAGTAATGTGTACAAATTACGCAGTGACTGATCAATTATGAGAAGTTTTCCCAACTACTATGTGAGAAGTAGTAGAAGTTAGGCACGGACAGACAGGGAAGTTGTCCGGGGCGGCATTTTTTCATGACACAAAAGGGACGCACAAGCGCTGAGTAAAAAAATTAAAAAGAAAGAAATCTGTGCCGCACCGAGGTTTTCTATTCTATCTGTCATATCACAGAGTCTGGATTGGAAACAACAAGTTGGCGCCCCCTGCAGCTGCAGGCGCTCCTGCTGACTGAGAGGGTTCAGGTGCACTGTGTGTGTATGAAGAAGAGGAAGGGGAGGGGCGCGGCGGGGGAA